AAGTTCAGATTTGTTTCAGCTACTTGTGTGGCTACCGCCCAGCTATTCACCCTTTAAAACCCTCCTGAGTTCAGCCAGCACCTAAATTCTTCCTTCTCTGATTTGAACACCCTAGAAACAAGAACAAAGTTGGTTTATTTCTCTTAAATTTCTTTCTTTGAGGCAGAGTTTTTCAAACACGTTGTAACAAGGGATTTTCTTTCCCCAAAATGAAACATGCTATAGATGGGTTATATGTGAAACTGATAAATAAGAGACTGTGCTTGGCTGCCATGGGTTGGCTTGGTTTGTCCACTGTCTTCCCCCGACCTGCCTCCTTCCTCCCACCTAGTTGAGGCCACTAGGCAGGACCCACAGTTGTAAGGTTGGAAAACCTCTGCTATCAGGCATAGTTTCTCCGAGTGTGGTCAGCCCAGGATTTCTGGGCCTTTCTCCCACCCACCTGAATTAGAATTAGTTCTAAAATAGCAGGGAATGAGCATCCACAGGTGACTCTTCTGCACACTGGAGTGAATCATCGTTCTAGAAACTCTACACTGTCTTTTTTAGCAAAGAAAAATAATCATGTAAGCGCACGGTTTGCCCACAGTTGTTCCAAAGAATCCCAATCAAGAGACTAAATTCATATGAATACTGAAATTACCAAGGTATTTTAAAAAGTGTTGTCAAATAATTAAATAAAGCATTAATTCTAAAAGTTAAATATACAGAAATTACGATGTATGCCTTACTACATTGACCATTTTAAATAATTTAGTAAACATTTGTCATCAGTCTTGTAGGAGATGTTGGGGGAAACTATAATGAACTAGATGGATGTCCTGTCTTCAATAAGAAGGAGTATATGCTGAGAACCTGTATATAATTGAAAGCAGTAGAAGGTATAAGACTTCTGAAAAGGAGATGATTCTTCCCAGGTCTGAAGATGAAGGGATGACTTCTTGTAGTTCAATTTTAAGTTTAACACAGAGTTAAGTCTTAAAGTTGACCTGGGACAACCCATCTCTCCTTTCCCTATCCTTTCCAGATTCTACAAAACTAGCACATGCGCCTCACACACAGCATGCAGGGTTCCAGCAGAGCTCATTCCTGGTCTGGGGCCGGGGCAGGGGGAGGGGAGAATCCCATAAGGATGCCACCCCTGCCATTTACCTGGTGCATCCACAAGTGGTACATTGGCCAGTCCCCAGCCCTGCAAAATGCACACAGGTAACAGGCCACCAGTCAGTGGGCTAATGAGAACAAGATGATCAGAGAGAAGTCAGATGTAACCGATGGAGGTTGATGTGGGAAGTCTAACTAAACAGTCTCGTCATGGAGCATACAATACTCTGAAGGCTCCAACTATGGTGGTGTTGGCATTTTCAATATTGCATACGTTAATAAAAGCTTATTTAATCTCTTGTTTGGGTTGAAAGAATTACACATTTCAATTAAAAATATGAAGTGGATGTTAAACATTTTGTAGAATTTTCTGAGAGCCTACTGGTATCTAAATCCCTATGGTAAAAGAATATTTTCTTAGCTAAAAGGATTATGGTCTAGAAAGACATAAATTGAAGGTAACAATAATGCCAAATTTATTCATCATTAAATAAAACTGAAGAAGACTAAAAGCAATTTTATAATAAGAAGAAACCATAAGATTTGCTTTTAGTCTTTAGGTAAATACCACTGATGAGATGGTACAGTCAAATACATTAAACTGATTGAAATGTGTGAATAAGTACAAAGGATAATTATTCTACTAATATTATTAATGTTCAGATGATAAATATAAAGGTTTGATCTTGCTCTAAAGAACATAATCTTTTTAATTTTTGAAAAAAAAATTATTTTTGAAAATCATACTAAATAACCAGTTCATTTTTTTGCTAACATAATGAATCCAATTTGTTGACCCATAAATAAATATTTCAAAGGTATATAAATATATAGTTTAATTATATTTAATGTATATTTTAACTCTCAAATATATCCTGCTTGGGCAAAGTACATTATTTGGTTACCCTGCTAAACAATAGATGTAAATGTTTTGGACCTTATGTTTTGAAATTTTGCATCAACTGTATCTTACTGAACATTATTTGCAATTTACAAGCCATTATAAGAATACAGC